TATAGTGACAGCACTGCGGACAAAACCAACAACACACACACACACACACACACACACACACACACACACACACACACTGTGCTGTGCTTATCAACCAGTAAGTGAAAAAAGCTGACACCACGGTTGTGGGCATGAGGGGAAAAAAGGTGGCTCTGGCTATTTCACTTGGTTTTTGTGAGTCTGCTGGTTCCATAGTGGTGTGCTTTCTATAGGTCATGAAGGACAATAGCAAGGCTGTTAACAGTGCACCTATTGCAGTGGGGCACACTATGGGGACTTTGTCTTTGTTAACAGAGTGGAATGCCCCAGTGGGCTAACAGGGGCAGGATAGAGAGCACCACTGCTCACCACCTCTGCACTCGAACAGTCCCTGAAGCTCTTAAAAAGAGCTTCAATCTATACATCCAGAAGAAGTGGGGAAGAAGAGCAGGAAAAGGATGACAGGGGAAAAACCAGGCTAACTGGGTGAAGTTGCTTCAGATGTCTTCCACTGGTGGGCGAGGTGCTTTGAATGAGCCATGATGAGCTCCCATGTGGGAGCTTCTAGTGTAAATGTCTCGAACAGAGTTGGATGTAGCGAAGCTGAGGATGCTGGTGAGGAAACCAGTACTAATGAGACTCACACACCAAAAGTGGAGAGATCTAGGCAAAGGAGTGTAAATCCAGCAGGCGAGGGAAGGTCAAGCAATGTGCTGGTGAGACCTGCGCTGTCAGGTGGAAAAGCACGCAAAAAGACCTGCAGTGAGGACAACAAAGGAAGCTGGAGAGAGCAAAACCAAGACAGGGGCGAGGAGACAATAACTGCTGGAGATTTGGAAGGCAGAGAAAGAGGGAAAAGCATGGAAAGAAGAATGGCGGAAAGAGATGAAACACATGGAGATGAAGCACAGTATAGACAGAGAAGAGAAAGCACTGGAAGTTTGTCAAGTAATAATTCTGATCATCAGTTAAACAACATTTTGGAACTTGGAGAAGGATCGAGCAACTTGCAGAGAGGACACACCTGCTCTCGACTCCAGAGCACTGGCTGCAACTGGACCTTCACTTCCAGTTCAAACGCACTGTCCCGTCGGCCTGCTGCTCATACCAGGTCCATACCCCGGTCACCTCAGAGACCTTTATCCAGACCAGCTGCAGGAGACTTGCACCTCTACTCACTAAGTTCATTCAGGGAGCCAGATCCATTCTGGGTGGAGGTGAGACCAGTGTCAGCACCTGGGCGATCTTTGACCTTCTATGAGCTAAGAGGGGAGGAAGAGGATGAGGGTGATGAAGAGAACGTGGAGGATGGTGATGAAGGAGGCAGCGGGGTGGTAAGGGTGATGAGTCAAAGCGTGACCTCAACAGTGGCACAACCTTGTGTTCCTTGTGAGAGGAGGATGAGTAAAAGGGAGAGGAACAGGATTAAAAGTCTGAGGAGGAGACAGCGAAGAAGGGAGAAATGGAGACAAAATCAACAGCAAGAGAGCAGACAGGTGACTGGCACTGCACACTGACATCACAGAGGTTTAAGTATCACCACGAGATGAGTCACAGAGGCAGTTATTAGATCACTAAATGATTTAGTAATTACTAGATCCAGTAATTAATACCCAGGATAATTTTTTTTTAATATGTAGTCTTTATGGACTTTAAGGATTAAAGACACACCAAATAACAAATGTTTTTAACTGAGTAAGTCCTGAGATTTATACTCAGGACTTACTCTTACTAAAGAAGTATTTATAGCACAACATGGCAGGTATATGTAGTAAAGAAAGAAAGAAACAGAGGCTGCATGCACATAATCACGTGGTACAAAACAACAGGTACAAACATTAGGCCTGTTTCTGTTTTGTTGTTGTTGGGGCTTTGTTTGTTTGTTTTTTTTGCACTGCATCTATTTTTCACTGTTTTTACTCATGGTACTTTATATTACAGCATACACGTGTGTGTGTGTGTCTGTTTGTTTCATCTAGACTCTGGCTCTCGAAAGCTATATCAGCAACCAGCTCATTTCAATAGCCATTGTGTGCGTGGTTTAAAGTGGGGTTACATCTGAATTAGTTGCATGATGAGGCTTGGGCAGAGAGCCCTTCAAAACCGACCAGACAAAAGAGCAGATTCCATTTTGATTGGCTGCTGCAGAGCTGCAGTCACGTTGGCAGACTGAAATTACTCTGACTGCTCTGTTACCGAAAGTCAAATTAGTTTCTTCGACACTTTCGTATGATCGATTTCCTAATCCTTTGTCCTCCTACAGACTGTGCTGTTTTTAGTTAAGATATTCCTATCTGTTATTCATTGGACTTGGTGTGTAAATAAACTGGGTCATGCAACAGGACCTTAGCACACCAGCAAATCTGCTAGCATGGCTGAAAAAGAAAGGAAGAAAGTCCAGACCTACTCCCAAATAAAATGCTGTCGTGGGACCTGTGCATGAACAAATGCCTGCAAATCTGAGTGAACTGTAGCAACGCTGTAAAAAAGAATGGCTCAGATTTCCCCCACAATGATCTGAGAGACTGATAAAATCATACAGAAAGCCATTATTTAAACGTACTGCCGCTAAGAATAGTTCTGCAAACTACTGAATGATAGGGTATGCTTGGTTTTTCATACGCTGTGTCGCCATTGCTGTATAGGCTTGATAAATAGATAACGATACTGTAGCATATAATGTGTTGTCGTTCATCTGAAGCTGATAGACTCTAGCAAAAACCAAATGATTTCTTCTTTTTTTTTATTATGTCCTAATAATAAAAAAAAAATAACGGATTTTCAAATAGGTTTGAAGGCGGGTGCATTTTGGTGTACACTGGATGAAGCCAGCTAGCTTCTTCCTTCTGCTTCCATTTATCCTAAGCTAAGCCAATCATCACCTTGCTCCTGCTCCACACCTAGCACACCCTTATATATTGATGTTCTCAGCTAACTTTCAGGAAAAAGGCATTTTTTCCTTAAACTGATAAAGACATTGAAAACCCAACATATATTCAATATGTTTTTAAACAATTACTTTTGTTACCCAGTACCCATTTCTTGCTCATTTATCATGTTGAATCTTTATTTCCATTTATCAGCTCTGTGAAAATTGAATTTCAGAAATTTTGCACTTATTCTCGATTGGGAGAATATAAAAACCTAGAACACACGCTGCTATTGGGCACACTGGTCAAATACCCTGGTTTAGATTTTGGATTTTCACAATGTGTTTTATCAATATTTTGTACAATACAGAATGTTTTACATTTTTTTAATCCCCTTTTTAAACTGTCTTAAGTTACTGCATTCATGTGGTTGCCTTCTTGGTTTGTGCTGGCTTGTTTGAATTTGTTTGTGAGAAAAGTGTCGTAGGACAAAGCTAGAGGAGATGCTGTTGTATAAAAACAAACCACAGGATGTGATTTCATCCTGAGTAATGCAGAGACGTTTAGTGTTGGCTTGTTTCCAGCTGCTGGAAAAAAGCTAAAATGTGGTTTTAGCTGCTGTTCTGCAGAAACACATTTTGTGAAGGAAATGCAAATTGTTTGTGGTGCAGCAGCGCTATCAAATAGAGCTTCACTCAGTTATAGGTTTATCTATAAATTAGCAGTTTTTTTTAGTCTAAACTTTGGTTCTGTATGTCATAGAGCACACTCTTATTCATTTATATACCAGTATATGATTGTAACCTAGACAAAACTGGCATGTCACCATACATGTTGCCAGGAGAGCCTCAGCATCTATGCTTACTTAGACACCCTGTGCTCTGTGTTCTCTCCTCTCTTTAATGACACACCTTGGGAGGATGGGCTGATGTGACTGGGAAGTCCCTGGAGCTCCCCCAGGGTGAGAAAATAGTAATTACTTTGGAAACACCCCCAGGATTCTTTTTAAACAGTGAAGCTTCAATTCTCAGGGGTCTGCCAACACAACACGTGTTTGAGGAGGCGGTGGGTGACTTGGAAAGCCCTAACTACTATTTTAAAAAAATAGCTTTTGTTACATCATGGAGTTATAGCTGGAATTTGGAACCATAAAAAGTGAGTGATGAGGATAAATTAACTGTTGAGGAGAAGAGAGGAAGTAAGGAAAGAGTGTAGCAGATGCTCTGCATGATGAAAGAGAATACTAACCAGATCCAAAACCCACCTTCTGTTTTTATCCAATAGAGGTTAAGAGGGCTCATAGTAGGGCTTAACTGACAAACTGCAACAGATATAAAGTGACACATCCTAAGATGCACCTCTATTGGTTTTCCATGAAGTAATAGGAGCTTGAACTAATGCCTATGATGGGTCAGAATGCTCTCTCTAACAAACAATGTTTATGCTTTACAGTAAGATGTGTGAAAATGTAGGTAGGCAGACATTTCACTTGACTGAACTCACACCTGACACCCTCATGTCCTCACACATATTATTATGCTGTTTGGATGGGTGTCAAAGAGGGTTACATTCATCAAAAGAGAAAAGAAATTCAAATAGAAGAGAACTGTGAAAGAGGACATTTTCACTTATATTTAATGCTAACTGGAAGCATCTTGTAGTGATAATTTATACTTAACATCTCATACGTGAAGGGTCAAATCTCTGGATTGCTCTCTCTTATTGCTGTTATCCAATCCTAGGCAAGATACTAATATAACTGTCTCAGAGGTTAGTCCATATAGCCAAAACTGTGCAAAAATGGGTTTTATCATTCTAATATTGGAGCTTTAAATATGCACACATGCAAACATAAGCAGGTTTGTGGTCACACAAGAAAAGATATTTTTAACAATTAAAATGTTATTTTCTACTTCTGTTTTTTCCCAGAGTTCAACAGGAAACCCATCCAGCAGCAGCAGTGAGGACGATGAGGCCCTGACTACCGGGGACAGAGAGGGCTACATCTGCGCTGTCTGCTTGGATGTGTACTTCAGTCCTTACATGTGCCACCCGTGCAATCACATCTTCTGTGAGCCCTGTCTTAGGACGCTGGCTAAGAACAGCCCCACTAATACCCCCTGCCCCCTGTGCAGAACAATCATCACACATGTTTTCTTCCAAAAAGGTGAGATGATGAGCAAGGACCACTTACTGTATAATGACTTAATCAAACTTCCTCAGCACTAAAGACTGAATAAAGCAAAAAACACCTTCATGTAAAAATCTGACATTAAAGACAAACGATTTCAGCTATATTTTTATTCCTATGTTGGCTGCTACACAACATCTAAGCTGCAGATTGTTCAGAGGGCCCAGCTGCAGATGTCCCACAGGGAGCAGAGTAGACCTAAGTTCAGCTTTGACCAGATGAGTCACTTAGACTGAGAAGACAAAATCAAACACAGTCTGAGCACTTTGATTCGGTGCTTTCTAATGGAAATAAGAAGTAGTATTCCCCGTGGGTGGAAATGAACTGTAATAATAGGAGCAGATGTTTTAGGGTTTCTTTAAACCAGTAAAAAGTGGAACCCTAAAGCTGTAGGGAAACCTTTTCACCACAATGTTAAGCAGTATAATAGTAGTTATTACTGTAATAATATATGTATTGTGTATATTTCTGTGGTGTGTGCTAACAAATGTATTTTGTCACCTTGGGATAATTTATTAGATACAATTTTGGTTTGATTTTGGTCAAATTTATGAATCACTGAAAAACTTTTATTATTCATCCTAGCCTATTTCTAGATGTATATAGTAGCATGGATTAGATGGTGAGGAGGACTGTAGAAACACTGAGGGCTCTTGTTAATGATTAGATGACAAGATTAGACTGTCGTGTTGATTACCAGAGCCAAGGTCACAGAACAAGGAGATAATCAGAGAAGCAAGTGACGCTACATGTGCTGTTAGTGAATGTGTTGAGTAAATCAAACATATCTAGCCAAGCTATGAAGAAGTGATTAAAATGGTCGGGGTTTTTTTATTGCATTAACTTTGTGTCTTTTTTAAAATATGTATTTATATAGAGCTAAACCAAACAGCAAGAACATTCTTTCCAAAGGAATACCTTTCCCGGAAACAGAACTTTCAGAAAGCAAGCTGTGCAAAGTGGCCTCTCCCGAGCTGCAGAAAACTCTTCCGCATCTTTGGAGGCAAGTTTTTAATTCCCTCTAAAGTGGGGTCATATTTAAGCAACGTCATCTGCAACAACAGCAAAACTATATAAAGATAAAGCATAGCTAGTATTTTATGAAGCTGCACTTAAAGAGCGCTGTTGTTTGTGACTTTTGACAATATGACGCGTGTATGCTGTGCTACCTATTTATCGTAATTGTACCTCAAGGCCTCACAGAAGACTAAAAATAATCCTGTGCACTTTTCATTTGTATGAATTTGTAAATGTCTTCAATAGCAGCTCTAGTTGTATCAAAATCTGTCGTCTAACATTTATCAAAACACTGAGGTTATGTGTGTTAATTACCCCAGAGGAAATTGTTGCTTTTTTAACTACACAAAATGACTTATTTCTCATTTAAACCAGGCTTCCAGAGGCAGTCGAGTCCTATTGCTAGACGCCAGTTCCCCCACGGAGAAGGCTACCCTCTGGACACCATGGATTTCGAGGATGACACTCGTGGCTGGCGATTTGACATGGACATGGTCATCATCTACATCTACTCAGTGAACTGGGTTATTGGGTTCTTCATATTCTGCTTTCTTTGCTATTTCTTCTTCCCCTCTTTTTGATGCCCTGGCAGAAATTTTGGGGTAACATAGAAATAAGGTAAGGCTGAAGATAAAAAAAAAATTTG